ACTTGTTAATTTCAACATACGATACTTTACGTAGGAGGGGTCGAATTGATCGTGTCATTATAACAATTTTAATAACTATACAATGGCAACTGTAGTTTAATTTAGAGGAAGCATTGATTTGGTTGTCTACTTGATACTCCTCTTCTTTGAAGTGAAATTCAAAGAAGAGGAATATAAAGTTTTTTTTTTGTATGTTACCTTCGTAGTGGTTCCATTCAAATTTGAAGCAAATATTCCACCTCTAAGGGTGACAAATTAGGGGATGAATCCGGTTTATTGAATGTCACCCACTTTCCGTTAACCGATTTCAATAAAACTTGGCAAATAGATGTAATTCCTTTGAAAATAAGACACAGTGAAAACGAATGAGCAATAATTATTCTATTGTTGAATTCAGATTTTACCGCTACACAACTCCTAATCTGCATTTGATTTCTGAACTCCTGTAACATTTCTTTCGATTATAATGCACGCTTCAAGGTGAAAAAAAGCTCATTGCAAGATCTGCGTATATAACGCACATGTGTGTACATTGTAATGAAGGAGTTTTGTTACTGTCCGCAGGCGAAGTACGTCAGGCGCTGTCGATGATGAAGCAGTGGGCGCCAATGGATGTAGAAGACGCGCTCGAGCTTCTTACACCCAAGTTCACACATCCAGCTGTCAGAAAGTACGTTAATTCGACTAACTTCCATTCAACCATACATCACGACTATCTCTCCATGGGGTAGTCAGATACGTTCTAACACATACACTGAGCTCAGATCTCGCCTAAACAGCAAATGTTTAAACCACGTTCCTGGTTAACTGGTCTAGTGGTGGGTAGAGTTGCTAGCCCAAATAAAGTCGTATCTCGAATTATTCTGGTAGACAGTTTAGTATGCAAGTATTAAAGCTGGTATTTTTTATTTATTTATTAACTTTCTTTGGAAATGAATTCCTAAAAGCTACTGCACTCAGAAACCACTCGTTGTGAATTCGAATGGTGCAATTTAAAATGTTTGACTTTCACACGAATATTTAAAAAATGGAGTCCTTACTATGAGTAACAGTAAAGTTGTCATTTCGATCAGATTATCAACTGTTTTTTAACCGACTTCAAAAAAGGAAGTGATTTTCAATTCGACTGTTTATTTTATATATGCTACGCGATTACGCCAGTATTCGTGAACCGATTTCGATAATTCTTTTTTTATTGGAAAGATGGTACTTCGGTATTGGTCCCATTTAAATTTGAAGGAAATATTCCACATCTAAAAGTGGCAAACTAGGGGATGAATCCGGCTTCACGCACTTCCTGTAACCGGATTGCAATAAAATTTTTTTTTTGACGGGGAGAAATCTCTATGGCCCAGGGAGACTCAGGGGTTATGTGGGGACTCTGGGGCCGCCCTAGCTTGCGCCAGGGCTCACGCGCCAACGGAAGGGCGGGTCGGTTGTCCTCGTACCCTGACGAGTGAGTCCGTGCAATGCAGGCCCCGGAGTCCCTGTCCAGAGCCCGCTGGCCTCACTAGGGATTGCAATAAAACTTGGCAAATAGATGTAATGCAACGAACTTTTGAGTTCGGTTTTTTTTTTGTAAAATTTGTATTATTTCTTTGCTTAATATTATCCGATAAAAAGTTTACACGGCTTGTATGTACCTTTTAGATACGCCATTTCCCGTTTGAAGCAAGCGCCGGATGAAGATTTGCTCCTGTATCTATTGCAGCTAGTTCAAGCTTTGAAGTACGAGAACTTCAACGAAATTCACGAAGGTAAATTATTTATTTTTTCTTTTTTTTTCCTTGTCATACTTTTGCTTCCATTTTATCGCGCGGAAAGTTTGGCATTATAATGTTTGTAACTAAATCCGGACGGAGACGTAACATCTGTCATATCGACTTCATCCGTAGAACAAAGACCTATGTGCAAGACTACTTGTTCTCAGGACATAGTACATTTCGTTCGTTCTTCTTCGCTGTGGATGTCAGATCGATCGTTGTTCGATTTTATATTTCCGAAACGAAATAAGACATATAAATTCTCAAAACATCTTTACATAGGCCTTAGTTGAGTAACGAAATTATTCTAGAAACGTATTTATTCTCTTTTCGCTGTATAATCACATCGGACTCTGTTCTTCGGATGAGTCGATATAGTTTTATTAAAAATTAGTAGGGATGCTAAAGTTCAACCTTATCTTAATATCTGTTGATAAAAATTCTGCCTACGTTCTTCGTATTGTTGCCACTGTTCCCTTTTTTAAAGCCATGTGGTTGTTCCAGAGTACGCCCGTATTTGCGGCAAGGATGTACCGGTCTACTCCGACTCCGAAGGCAAGCTGATACAAAGCGGACGTCGCGGCAGTCAGGCCAGTCTGCTCTCGACTTCAGGTATTTTAGTTCACCGATTTACCATCATTATCAATTCATTGTTTGTCCCACTACTGGAATCTACTCTTAGGGTTTGGGTCTTAATTAACCACAAAAACCCAATACGGCTTGGGAACTTCACATGTTAATAAAAACGTAAGTAAATCTGTTCCCGTCGAGGTATATGTAGTGCTTTTCTCAAATAATGAGAGGAAATAATAAAAGACGGAAGAAGACTTTTAGTGGCAACACAAACGCGCGTTTGTGAAACTTGTGATTTATAGGCAGTTGCATTGATGCAGTCGTCATAGACTGCATCAATGCAACTGCCTCCGTGGCCGAACGGTTACCATACCGGACTGCCACGCAGAGGTCCCCGGGTTCGATTCCCAGGCCGGGAGAAATATTTGTATGGCCTACATTTATTTCTCTCGTGAGTTTGGGTGTAATTTGTGGTTGTCTATGTGTGTGTCCATGGCACCCGCGACACAGGGTTTCCCTAGTGCGGGGCTATGTTGAGTGTGTGCGTTATTATTATTATTATTATAGATGGCGCTACGCCTAAATAGTCGTTGAAAAACCAAATAAAGATACGACGCAAGCACATAGAAGAATTCATGAGGTTCGCTGGTTCGTTCCGTGGCTTAGTTGATATAGCGTCTAGCACGGTATGCTAGAAGACGTCGGTTCGAATCCGGCCGGATAGAAGGAATTTTTTCTGAGTGTTCGATCTTTGTATTAATAATTATAATAAACTAGTGAAGTAAATTCACATAAAAATAATTTAATATCAATGCAATAAAAATTTAAAATACAGGGAATAGCGACATCTCTCGCCAGGACTAGTAGCTGTAAAGGTACTAACTGGGTGATAAATCTTTCATAGATTTCTCATAGATGGCGCTACGACTAAAAAGTCGTTGAAAAACCAAATACAAAGACACGACGCAAGCACGTAGAAAAATTCGTTGGGTCCGTTGGTTCGTTCCGTGGCTTAGTTGGTATAGCATCTGGCACGGTATGCAAGAAGACGTCGTTTCGAATCCGACCGGATCGAAGGATTTTTTTCTGAGTGTTCGATCTTTGTATTAATAATTATAATAAACTAGTGAAGTAATTTCACATAAAAATAATTTAATATCAATTCAATAAAAATTTAAATACATACATATCTATTTAAAAAACCGGTAAGCAAATTTTTGAGGTCTGTTTATTTTTTTATAAAAAAGTTATAATTATTCGATGTACAAGTTGTATCATATAATTTGCTTTCACGGTAAACATTCACAAAGTCACAGGCACATTCCGCCACTTGGTCTCCAATAGATGAACCGTTCTCTCACTTCTTCGGTGTCTGTGTTGTGCAGTGCTAACAGCAAGCGACATGTCGGCGTCGAACACGAGCCGTCGCTCCGACCAAGTGGACGAGTCCACCGCAGTAGCCGACGACGCACAGTCTTCCAGCCACGACGCCAGCAACAGTGTCATAGACAATGGCAGCGCTTTTGGGTGAGTTTCCATGACTAGTCGTTTTTTTTTCTAAGCGACACCTTGGTAGCAGCAGCAGGGTACGTCCAGGGAAATACTGCCACCTTACCTACTTCTGCTGTCAAGCAGTAATGTCAGCATTACTGTGTTCCGGTTTTGAAGGGTCAGAGTGCTGGTGAAATTACCGACACTTGTCAACTTATGTCTTAAGGTCACGGGTGCAGTGGCAGTGCCCCTAAGATCTTTACGATTTAACGCTCTGAGTGGCACTGCAACTGTTATGGACAGGCGTCCCGTCGCTTGATATTATAAAAAAAAGAAAAACGCGCCTACTCATAACAGTTGCAGCAAAATAACAGTATTGCTCACATTTGCAATTCATACTACTGTAATCATTGACTTACAAATAAATGGACGACGGGTCTAATACAAAAACCACGAAAAAAATGTCCCAAGTCCACCTATTTAAACGTAGTGACATGTAAAGGAATATGAAAAAGCTAAAACGTTGAATTTAAATTATAATGTCATCGCAGTGCTGTCTAATTTTGCTTGCTTCGCTGTCAGTCGAACAAACGAAGACTAAAGCGTGAATGGCGCTCTGTATACGATTTTAACGCCCTATAAGTTCGGACACTTTTTAGCGCGGACCCGACGTCCATATAATTGTAAGTCAATGACTGTAATTAACAGGTATGGGCCTAATTGCCTGCCCAAAAAAGTTGCCCAATGCAAGACTTACAAAAATTGCAAGTTTTTAGCCAACACAATATAGTAGACGTTAACCTGAACGATCCCTTTTCCGCCCTGGCAGAGATCAGTCCGAGCCTCCTTCGGCCCGCCTGAACCTGGCTACCTTCCTGATCGCACGCGCCTGTAGCAACTGCGTGTTGGCCAACTACCTGCACTGGTACTTGCTCATCGAGTGCGAGGACGCCGAGGGGCAGGATGCCGCTGCCAGGAACATGTATCTGGCCGTCATGAAGACCTTCAATCACCATCTCGTCAAGGGTGAGTGCTGTCCCACATAAAGGAGTAACCACACATATCAACACGCGATTGAACCAATAGACAATAACAACTTTTGTTCACATTCGATGGTGGACATTTGAAATGTTGTAAGGAATATTTTGTCGTAATGGATAATGTTCCTTACTACAAAAAAATGTCGCTTACGACATTTCAAAATTCGATACATCGACGAAATTATTACCCTTATATCGACAGTGGAAAATTGAAATGTCTTAAGAGACATTTTGTCGTAAGGTCATTTTCTCTTACAACAACGACGATATGGGGCAGTGGGCGGAATCAGCGCGCGAGTTTATGTGTTCCAACACTGAATCTCATGCACAGGAAAAAAAAAGGGCAGTGATTTTTTTATTGCCCTGTATATTGTTGTTTTTCTATGTAGATTCAATCATTTGAACCAGCTCATTTCGAAGGTCTAAGCGCCAGTCGTTGGGCTGACGTGACGTCACGACTAGTGACGAGAAAAACCGATACTAAACTTATTTAAATTCATTGTCAGTTATTTGTTTTTACTTATTAGGTACAAAATGTAATAATTATCTCATAAATTATATTATTAAATACTGTTTATGGAGAATTAGATACGAGTGATATATTTATATTTAAAAATATTTAACTCATGAATAAATAATCAAAAGTTTAATGTCCTGACGTTCATAAGTTTGCGCTGGCCTTTAGAACGCCATTGTCCAAGTGCCTATATCGACTCATCCGAAGAACAGAGTCTGATGTGATTATATAGCGAAAAGAGAATAAGTACTTTATGATAATAATTTCGTTATTAAAATTAAGGCTTATGTAAAGGCGTTTTGAGAATTCATATATTCTTATTTCGTTTCGGAAATATAAAATCGAACAACCGTCGATCTGACATCCACAGCGAAGAAGAAGGAAATGTATAACGTCCGGAGAACAAGTAGTCTTGCATATAGATCTTTGTTCTACGGATGAGTCGATATCATTGCCAACAAACAAATTCTGATGACCTCCGTGGTCAAATTGCTTGCGCACCGGTTTTCATGTCGCCATTTCTGAGGTTCCAGTTTCGATACCCGTCGGGTCTAAGATTCCCATAAATAACGCTTTCTTTGGTTTCAGAGCAACTTATGAGTCTAATATTTATTTCATGGCTTTCGTAATCGGTGAATCTTGTTTCATGTTTCACGTTTTCATTGACTTGCAGGCAACGCCGACCATCAACGCACAAGCTCCTTCCTCGCTCGCCAACAAGTATTCATAGACAAACTAGTAAAACTGGTCAAAACGGTTGCAAGAGAAAGCGGCAACCGAAACAAAAAAGCTGAACGGCTGCAACAACTACTGGCCGACCCTGACGCGTTCAAGTTCAACTTCTCCAACTTTGAACCGATGCCATTCCCTCTCGACCCAAACGTGACCATCAAAGGCATTGTAGCCAAAAAGGCCAGCCTTTTCAAATCCGCGTTAATGCCATCAAAACTGACCTTTTTGACCACCGAAGGGGTTGAATACGAAGCAATATTCAAACACGGGGATGATTTAAGACAAGATCAACTGATCTTACAAATAATAACGTTAATGGACAAGTTACTGCGTAGAGAAAATTTGGACTTAAAGTTGACACCTTACAAGGTGCTAGCGACGAGTTCGAGACACGGTTTCTTGCAGTTTATAGAGTCTGTAACCGTCGCCGAGGCGTTGGCGACTGAAGGGAGTATACAGAACTTCTTCAGGAAGTACAACCCGTGTGAAGGCGCGCCGTACGGAATCAAACCTGAGACTATGGATACGTATATTAGGAGCTGTGCTGGTTATTGTGTTATTACTTATTTGTTGGGTAAGTTTATAATACACCAGACATTGTAGAAGGGTAAAAATTATCCATCTTGTCTTTGTAGCAGTGGAGATTCTTGTCAAAGAGTTCGTCCAGGGAATTACTGCCATCTTACCTATTTTTGCCGCCAAGCATTAATATGCTCATTACTGCGTTTCGGTTTCGAAGGGTAAGGGTGCTGGTGAAATTACTGGCATGTGGGACTTGTCAACTTTGGCACTGCAACTGTTATGGACAGGCGTGTGGCTTACCATCAGGCGCACGACTTGTTCGTCCCGTGATTTGATATAATATATATTTTTTTAACAGTATGTGCCACTACAGTTGGTACACGGTACTGACGCGCTATTGATTTCCCAGGCGTGGGTGACCGCCATCTGGACAACCTTCTGCTAACGAAAGCCGGCGCCCTGTTCCACATCGACTTCGGCTACATACTGGGCCGAGACCCCAAACCCCTGCCCCCTCCGATGAAGCTCAGCAAAGAAATGGTCGAGGCCATGGGCGGAATCCATTCGGAGTACTATCACGAGTTCAGGAAGCAGTGTTATACTGCTTTCTTGCATTTGAGAAGGTGAGATTTTGATTATTACGCCACCGTCATGTTTACTATAGTCGAGCCTAGATGATATCCTCTTTTTGACAGATAGTTTTAGAGTCGTAACACATTCACGTTAATTAGTATCATTGATACTAATACGGTACTAGTTATTTATATAGTATAGTAATTTAGTAATATTCATATCCGCGTGAGATCACAAGGAATAGAAACAACAAGACGTATACAAGGCTAATATGCAATATGCAGTGAATGCAACATGCAGTGTTACCTAATCAAATTTGTATTTTACATAATATATATACATGTTTTGAAATTTTTCTGGTTACCTACTTAAATAATTTGTTAATATATTTTTCGGCAAAATTAACATTTAATAGTAAATGACACAAGTAAGTAATCTTATGAACGGTGTCTGCAATAATTGAGTTTATATTGTGCATTTATTCACGTTTTTATCATAAGAATTTTTGTTAATGGCAACACTTTTACTTAATTTCTGGGGATATTTCTACCATACTACATAATTTCTTTAATCACATAATAGTACTATACTGTTGCTTGCGGGACATCACTAAGTTTAAGAAAAAAAATACCATAGAACATAACCCTTTATATAATATAACGTATCATAAATAATATCGTATTGCTCTGATGCCGGATGTTCCTAATTCTTGTCTTCTAACTTAATTATATGTACTTGTAGCTTTGTATGTATACATGTATCACACGTGTATTGTAAATGTGTAGTGTGGCATAAAGCAGAGGATACACAGAGCATGTACCATTTCCTTAGGTGTCAGCCGACGCTGAAACAGGAACGACTGAAAATCAGCGTCTGTCATATTGCTGAGTCGTATCCTTGTCTTCTTTTGCGCCACTATACACACTTGCTAATTTAAAATCACGCAGCCATTTGTTGTTTCAGTGTTAAGTATTAGATTTAAGTGCGTATAGTGACTCAATTTAATTAATAAACGTAGATATTAAATTATGTGTTATTGTAGTTAAATACTATTGTAGCGGATGCTCGGAGGGTTGTTAATTGGAGAAGTGAAACGCTCGATGTCTAGCTCGCAATTAACATTTATTTCGAAATCAGCCCCTACCTTTATACAAAATTTATAAAATATAACGTACACCCCAAACGTAAGTTGGAGAGAGAGAGACAGACTATGTCTCTCGCTCTCACGTAAATACTTCGCGCGCCCGCGGGCCGCCAGTCAGTCGGCGCTCGCGCGGCGCTGAGCAGACGTGTTGATGAATGTCATACTATATATTTAACTGTAATAAACATGTTGTTAGTGTTCACAGTGGAGATAAATTATGATTATTTGTTTTATTTTTTATTGTGTTATTATTATTATTAAGTTACGTTCTATCACCGGTCATAGCTGTCAAAAAGAGGATGCTATCTTGGCTCGACTATACTAGTATATTATCAAAGTAAGTTTGATAGACGCACCAGTCTTGTCAAGAACTAATAATAGGTGACCTCAGAAGTTCGTTTAAGCAAAGAAATCAGACCAGAAACTATATACGGAATAACAACCTAAATATTGACATTATTATTTAATGTTCTTCCTTACAGACACGCAAATCTGATGCTGAACTTATTCTCCCTGATGGTGGACGCATCCGTCCCTGACATCGCGCTGGAACCGGACAAGGCCGTCAAAAAAGTACAGGACAAACTCAGGTAACGTCAGTGTCGAACATACAAGCATTAGCATGTATGACGAACGAAATTGTTTCCACCCCGTCAAGTGTCACTGTAAACTTGTAAAAGATCTTTAAACACGAATGAATGTTCAAATTAAATTTCAGACTGGACCTTGGCGATGAAGAAGCAGTGCTCTACCTACAAAACTTGCTGGACATGTCGGTCACAGCCGTGATGGCTGTTCTGGTTGAGCAATTCCACAAATTCGCGCAATACTGGCGAAAATAGACTTCTAACGGCATGTGTTCTTAACAGGAGAAATGCTACTCAAGACATTTTAGAATAATCCTTGTTCATGCTCAATTGTGTCCCAGCTTTTCTTGAATAAAATTGAATTTAAATTCATTTTGGTAAAATATAATTTATAGAAAAAATAACTCAGATAAAAAACGTCTTGTATCTTAAATGAATTATAATACTATGTGCTGTGATATTGTAGATATTGAAAAATAAAGATATGTTTTTGTATTTAAATGTTTTATTTCTTTTATTTTAAAATTAAGTAAGTGCTACGTTTAGTTCAAGATGGAGGAAATGACTTTTGCAGGGTTGCCATTTTTCGTAAAAAACTGTGTAATAAAAATAGATGTCATCTTGGAAGAATAGGATCGTGTACTTCACGAATCAATTTTGACGCCTATAGGTTAATTATCAAAATAAGAAAGAACGCGATAATGCAATTATTAATCATTAAAACATTTATTCTGCAAAATTTTACTTCATTTTTGATAAAGCTTGACAACTACAAGACTATGACGGCCCTTACCCTTAGAGTCGTATTCCAGAACTCTACTCAATGCTCAAGTCAGGGGGCCTACCACAACCTCTTAAAACAATATTACTTTAACCTTACATTGACTTTTCGTACCATAACGCGCTTAAAATAAGCTTATTGTAAAGTTAAAACTATGATGTTTTATTGGCAGCTTTGTAACTATTCATTCACTCGGTTCGTACTATGACGTGACTTTAACATTAAAGTAATATTGCTCTTATGTCAAATTAAGTAAATAGCAATCATAGTTACACGGATGCATTGGAAACAATGTTATTTTCAGTTGAATTGTCTTAATATTGATTTGTAATGATTAAAAGTTAAGTTGAACTTATTTATTTACATATATCTCAACATTTTGTTTATTTTTAATTTAATAGCACATAGTAAATAAGTTTTCGTCAAATAAAAATACGCGATGTTTATTTCGTAAAACTACAACAGCACCATCTATATGCTCCTTGGCGAAACAGTTGACACTATAGTTCCGAATTCACAACGTGACTATCAACACCAATTTATTAATTATTACGTACTTTTCTTTTTTTGGCAGTTAAAATTCTTTGTATGTAAACATTGACTTACAAATAAATGGACGACGGGTCTAATACAAAAACCACGAAAAAATGTCCCAAGTCAACCTATTCGAAATTTAAATTGTAATGTCATCGCAGTATCGAGCTGTCAGTCGAACAAATGAAGACTAAAGCGGAGTTTGGCGCTCTGTATACGATTTTAGCGCCTTACAAGTGCGGACACTTTTTATATATTTTAATATACATATATTGGATGTTCCCTGTCCTATTAATCTTAAATTCCTTCTTTCTGTTTTTGTCCCTTTATTAACATTTTGTGTGATTTTATACACTCTAATATTATGCTTTAGTTTATTGTTTATTCATGATTGTTTTTTTTACAACTCGCGTATGATCTTCATAATAGCAGTTCGTCGAAGAGGTTCTTCCTAAAATAAATACCTTGCTGCTGCCTTAACGTTGGCGTTCTTGATCAATATTAAATGACTGCATTCATCAAATCTGACACTGGGCCAAGCCTAGTGGGCGTCATTAAGGAAATAATTATAAAAACATAGTATAGTATAAAATTTATGAGCAAAGAATATTACAAAATACAGATAAATTCTTGCATTATACATGAGAGTATTTTACAAGTTTTACTTACAAAATTAAATACATTTCGCATAATATTTTTTTAACATCAATGTTTTTAACAAATGTCCAAAATGTTCGCGCATTCTTGACTTACTAAAGATGCCTCCATTTTCAAGTGCTTGCCATCATTAACTCACTTCCACTGGCAACAAAATCACTGGCAATATAAATCTTGCTGCTTGTACTCGTCTGAATGACGTCACAAGCCGCGATCTCTGCATATGTGACTCCGCCAACCACATACACTAACACAGATTTCGGTTTTAACGGAAACAGGTTTCCAAAATTAGGATCATTTTTCAACAACTTTGACAAACTTTTGGCATCTTTACATCCAAATTCTAAGTCGTTGCTCTCTAGTTTTAAATTCGACAGTTTTTCGTTCAGTGTTTCTATTCCATCTTTCATCTTCTCAAGGAACTTTCCGCCAATTTTCAATTCTGTCAAAGCGGACAATTTTGTCATAACTTCGTTTAGAGACTCTGCTGTCACCAAGACATTGCAAATAACAGCAACAAGTGGTACATATCCTCCATTAAACACGTAACTAGGTGACAAATTACCAACTTTATCAGGTTGTGATGGTAACTGCTTTAGTTTACCTGCTGTACTCTGAAATTCGTTCTGCCATTTTGGTAATCTGTCACTTAAACTACCTAAGTTTGAAATGTTCAAAGATAATTTCGGACTTGACGGCTGAACTAATAATCCTGCATTCACTAAATTATGAAAGACATATAGGAATTTGTATCCAAATGCCAATAAGTATTTGTTCACTAAAGAATTGTATTCATCGTATGACAGTCCTTGAGTTAAACTTAGTAAACACATGAGCCGTAAGCTGTTATAAATATGAATATCTGTACCAAAATTTTCATCTACAAATTGGTAATTAGACTTCTTGTTTCTGTTGTTCAGCATCTCAGTCTCAGTCAGTTTTAAGTTTTCAAACTTGTTGCTCATTTCCGATATAATAGTTTCACATGCTAATACATGATTGACTAGATTCTGTTTGAACATGGTTACTTGCTGTAATTTTGTAGCAACAAAATTTTTTATTTCCTGAATACCTAGAGCTTTAATATCTTCATTCTTTAAAAGCTTTGCTTTTGAACTCAGTACGCTGAGTACTTCGGAGAAATGCCTGTGTTTAATTTCTCCATATAAAGTGTCTGTTGAACTGTCCAGAGTCATAACAACATTTTTACTTGCTGTAGCTTCTTCTTCAAAGTTAAAGTTTAATTTACCCTTTTTCAATTTTGTCTCTTTTACATTTAGATCCAAATGTCCACAGTTGATGTTGAATATTTCACTTAATAAGCCACTGTAAGTTGCGGGCGTTAATAAACTCGAGGCGTAATCTTGATTACGGTCTATTACAATCAATGCGCCAATCTCTTCAGAACTGTTGCTATTAACAAAATCTCTTGCGTAAGTTTCGTTATAAATCTCCAGCACATCAAGAATACTAGCCGAGAGCTTTCCTAATGAAAATACGGCTTTTGGCTTTCCAGTAACATGAAATAAACTCCACAGGGACATAGATATGCTTGATAGTAATGACTGATTATGTTCAACAAAGAATTGTTTGAATATAAAGGGTAGTTCAAGACTTAATAGTTGTTCATCCAAAGCCATCAGTTCCCATGAAAATGAATGCAATTTGACTATATCATAAAGACCTCTATTTTCTAGCATTGAGTCGTAACAACCAAGTACTTTTGGTATGATAATAATGTGAAAACATTTCAAGTCTGCCAGAGAGGTGTTTTGACTAAGTAGTGAAGAAATCTGATCTAACACGCACTTGTATTTTTGAATACAGGCTGGGATGAAATATACTCTGTTAGTATTTGCTGTTGCACCAAGTTGAGGATCCATTTTGTATATTTTGTCAATTCCTTTTTGTCTGAAATCAAATTAATTCTTACCTTAAATATAATCTCATAGATAGGTAATCATTATAATAATAAGTTTAAAGCCTTTTTATATCAATGTTACATGTTTGTAATGCATGTTACATTATAAATTTTTTTTAATATTTGTACCCTGGTCAGGTCAAGAAATCTAGTATGCTTTTCCATCACATCTTCCCTTTGGCTACTTTAAGCAAGATTTTCTCAGGTATATCACTAGAAGTTACAGTATTACAAGGTCTTACCTACCACAATCAGGAGACTCCCTCCACCAGAGTGACCCAAATAGAACAATTCACAGGCACTAATATTACTAGGCCTACATAACCCATTTTTCGTGCCCTGTCGAGCATAGGTATCCTCCATGGAGAGAGTTCTGTCAATAGTCTGCCACACTGACCCTTGCATGGGTTATGAACCTTCTTCAACTTATACAGGTTTAATCACAATGTATTCTTTCATTCAAATTGTCTCCATGGCCAATCAGTTACCACCATGCAAAGGTCCCAGGTTCGATTCCCGGGCTAGGAGAAATATTTGTATGGCCTACATTTATTTTTCTCGCGAGTTTGGGTGTAACTTGTAGTTGTCTACCTGTGTGTCCATGGCACCCGCGACACAGGGTTTCCCTAGTGCAGGGCTATATTGAGTGTGTTTGGGTTATTATTATTCTTAGCGAGAGATATTGCTATTAAAAATTGTGTAATGTGAAAAATAAGTTAATTAAAATTTTCACACACCTGAGCCAACTGACACCACAAATCCTCTCCAACGGCTTAATCATCATCGGATCTATAATTAAGTCCTTTTTATCACCACATTGTAAGAGAATATCCTCCAATTTACACTGAGATATGAGGCTCATTGAAACCAGCTTCAAGGAAAGTGGGTGATCCATGTTGATATCGTTTCTTTATACACTGTCCTCTAATAATATACGTTACAGGGACGTAGAATATTGAAAAGCAATCATATTTTGCACGTAATAATGTGGCTTTGTTTTATTACTAAATTTTATTGTATTTAATAAAAAGTCTACAAAAATTGTGTTTGTATCAATACATCAGTATCACAAACTACTAATACAAGAATGAGTACAGGGGGGACAGAGCCTTGGAGCTGACAATTTGTAAAGAAAGTAGTGACATCTTTTAATTATCACCGGTACTATTTTTGGGATTGCCAGGCTTTCTATACCATTACTGTTTCAGTTATTTTGCCTAGGTAATAACTGTGATTTTTTCCATACACTATGTACGTACATAAATTGTTAAAAAACTTTAGAAAATTTACCATTACGTTTGCGACTGAAAATTATATTAAAAAAGCTCGCCATAAATGAAAAATCATTTTTATTTTATATCTGGTGGGCAATTTTGATTAGTTCGAAGCTCAATGTCACAAAATGGCTACCGCGTCTTGCGTACGCGCGTGTATTTTGCCGGTTTGTGAAATTTTCTTGTGCTATTTGTGTGGAATGTTTTTCCTTGTGCTGTGTCTTTTTGTACAGCTGGTGTAGAACTGTTAATCGGATTTTGTCTGGGAAAATAACTTACGTAGGGGACGAAGAAATTAAAAATAATGCTGCAGTATATTATAATAAGTACAAACATTGTAAAAATAAGAAGTAATTAAATAAATTTGTCTTTTATTGTGGCCTTTATCATCTAATGTTTTGTTCTAATTCACTAATGCTGTAATTGGCAGACTAATGTCTTACAAATTCATAAGTGACATTTTGTCCTTTACATAATTAAGTTAGAACAAAACTGCAAAGAAAGTACATATATTTAGATAGTTGCATTTGCAAGTATTAGGTACTAGTAGCAATCTATCTATAGGTATGCATATTCATGGGTATATATGCACGAAGTTGTCAGTGATAAAAAACAGATGGTGCTTCAAAATCAGTTGGCATAAATTAAATACTCACGACAGGGCTCTCTTTATTGAATGAGTATCAGCTTTTTTCTTTTTTATTAATAATTTTGGCTTGGATACAAGTCCTTTGAGCCACGTCTTCGTTTAATTATGTTTCTTTAAATATGGTCGCCATTCAGGATTCCTTTAAACGGGCCGATACGGGTATTCTATTTCGAGATTCGTATAATTTCGCGTTTTATTCTTCGATTAAAGCACAACAGCACTATCCTACTCCACTTTAAACTAGATTTCACAAAATAATTGAAGGTAAAAATAAAAACGACACTTTTCCCTCCAAAAGGCCCAGAGCGAATCACAGTATCAGCTTTAATCAGCCAAGATAGCAAACACAAGGCAAACAAACAATTAGCAAACAAATGTTATATTTTCAAAATAGAAACGAGTCAAAATTCCTGAGTGTGTTTATTTCATAAAAATTGCATAGAACCAACGATTATGATTTGATTATGATTACTACGTCTATGATGATTATGAACGAATCCTTTTGAAATTCTCGCATACTGCATAACATAAAACATTTGCAAGCAAAAAAAGCACTACCAATTTGACATTAACAATGGTCGGATACACAATTTACACTTCCAGTCCTTTAACTTCTTCTATTACAAACCTCATCGGAACTTTAATTTTGACATTCCTGTGCTAGTGTTGCTTTCAAATAAAATGTTTACCTTAACTTACAAAAATTCTGAAAATATTACATGAAATCCGTAGAAAGACCAAAGTTTTTCTGTGTACTGTGATTTAATATCCAAAATTTGTTACAGTCGTTGATTTGTTTAGTTAACATCATTTTTAAGGACACAAAAGACCTTGATTTTCTATTTCCGGTCATGCGTCGTAGTATTGCTCGTAGGCAACCCGCAAGTTCCGATCCCTCCGCCCCTTCACCGCGGAGTTGTCGTTCGTCGTCGTATAGGATTTTTGTGAAATGGCTTCAAGAATTATCAGGAAAATTGTAAGTTTATAATACGAGTGTTACATAATAAATTCCTATTACTTACTGCATGTTGTAGGTAAGGTTTTCTTTACTGAGGCCACCTAATTTTATAATTCTTTGCATCCAAAAATAGACGTACTATAGTTATGTCGAGGAATTACATAAAAGTGCTTTTGAAGCCTTTTCGTGAGAGTAGGGTAGTAGGAGCTTTGCTGAAATGGTTGGAGCCCGGCGGGGGAGATGCTCTGCCAGCAGCACGAGGGGTCAGAAACGAGGTGAACTTATGTTTTTCATTGAATTTGTTTAGTTATGTATAATTCGAGGTTAGATCGGGATTTTTCTTTATTATTTTATTATTATCTATGAAATATAGCCAAGTAGGCATAGGAGATAGCTCCTATATTCTAGTGGTACGAAATTTTTTTTAATAATAAGGCGAATGTAAAAAAATGTACAGCCAGGGATACGTTGCAGGTCCCGAGCGCAAAAGCGGGCGCTGCACGATACAGCACTGGAGTGCGCAAGGTCACGCTGATCCCAGGCCACGGTATCGGGCCCGAAATCACCGTCGCCGTGCAGAAGATTTATGAAGCCGCCAAGGTTCCTATTGAGTGGGATGAGGTGGATGTCAACCCTGTTAGGGTAAGTCCTCACATTTCTCATGTTATATTTATGCAGATTGAATTTATATTATTTTATTGACACTTGTACTTATTAGCTTTGGTAATTGTGAAAAGGTCCATAAGATATAATACTTTTCCATTTTGAATCTAATTTGCTTAAAATTAATCAAAGTAAAGAATGACCAAAATAGTTCATTGTGGCATACACTATTTTGCCAATATGGTGAAAGGATATGCTAATTGGGAGGCTCTTATCTGTAAATAAAACAACTTGACATTTCTGAATGAAATGGTAGGAAAGGGGGAACTATGGAGATTTAAAAGATTTTTTAAAATTTTGTTTTAAATTGTTTTTAGTGTTTGTTTCAGATACATTACATATAAATAAACACTTTTTGTTCCTATTATTTTTTTCTCGGGCGATTGTTTTCAAGAAAATTAAGCTGAAAATTTTTCATTTACCAAGGCTACAGGACTTTCAAAAATTCGATCAACTTTTTTTCCAGTTTTCGTAGTACCCTTTCATACAGTCCAAACTGATTCTGTAAATAATTCAAAGCAAAATTGTATTTAAACTGAAATAAAATTTAGTACGATTTCTAGGGACCAGATGGCAAAATGGGTATCCCTCAAAAGGTCATTGACTCAGTAAATGCCAACAAGATAGGCTTAAAGGGCCCACTCATGACCCCCGTTGGCAAGGGTTACCGATCTCTCAATCTGGCATTAAGAAAAGAGTTTGATCTATACGCCAATGTCAGGCCTTGCAAGAGTTTGGATGGGTAAGTTCTTTATTTACTAAATTATTATATTATTATGAATTAAAAACATTAAAGAGATCTATATGAAAAGCATTCATAAATATATATGCAAATCAACGCACGCAACGCGTGCGTGCGTGCGTGCGTGCGTGCGTGCGTGCGTGCGTGCG